TTCTGTAATAGATATACCAAACTTACTATGTAGCGATGATTCTTCTTCTGAAATAGTTACAGCAACAACAACAACAACAAACAATTCAACAATTATTGCTCCAAAATTAACCACAAACACTGGAAGCAACAACAATAATAATGACAATGAAGATGATGATAACGATGAATATTCTTATGATATTCAATCTAATAAATCATCACCAATTAATTATCCCTCTACTCATTCTGAAATCGGTAGTGTTGGCGGTATAATTACAAGCGGTAGCAACAGTAGTAGTAATCATGGTTCTCATCATAATCACAACATTAATAAAGATGATCTTTCCAATCCTAACACCCCTAATAATGTCGATCTTTTAAAAAAATCTTTAATAATTACAACTACAAGTTATGATTATGAAGACGACGAGGATCTTAGCAATCGATCTTCTTGGAAGAGACAACGTTTAAACAACGATGATAACAATAAAAACGAAAATTCTTATAGATTACCTCCAATAGGAACATTCAATTTTGATTCAACTACCATCAATAATAATAACAACAACACTGCTAATAGTAGTGGCGCTAGTATTATTACTAGCGAGAAATTGACATCGCCGGCCGATTTGACTTCTCATAAACCTTGGTGTCAACTTCATTCTCTTGAACAGTTTGCCGCTATAACTGAAATTTATGCTACTGCAAATAACATTGTTCACCATAACAAAAACATCAAAAATAAAAATAACAACAATAACGAAATCTTAAATAATATCAATTCATCATCATCATCATCATCATCATCATCATCATCATCATCATCATCATCATCGCCACCATCATCCTTTTCATCCACCTCTACCACTACTTCTCCTACAACATCGCCATCATCTTTTGCTTCAACTGCTGTTACTACACCCATTACCACTACTGCAACTGTCGCCTCACCTAATAAATCATTATTACCATCATCAATAATTAATAACACTTCTTCTCGTCTAATTCAATCACAATCTCTTCCTTTAATTACTAATATTGGTTTGGGAAGTGCTAGTCATCACCATCACAATTATTTTCAACAAAACTATCATCACCACCGC